AAAAGTACGTCATCACGCCCCCCCCCTCCCCCACCGGTTGGGACTTGGACTACGACATCACGAAAGTACTGTAAATACCTAGGAGAATGGATGTGCTCTACAACAACAACAACAACAACTACTACTACTACTACTACTACTACTACTGCTACTGCTACTGCTACTACTACAACTACTAGCACTAGTACGAGTACGAGTAGTACTATGACCGTTTGTCTTAGTGTTTCTGAACCAGAACAGAGTTGGTGACCGCAGAAGTTAACACACAGCTTGCAACCTTGATGCCAGGATGGTCCGGGCAGAACTGGAAAAGCTGGCTGCTAAGGGAGCCGGTGGAGCTTTGCCGGCGGAAATTGGGCGCAAGAATGCTTACACCTCATGCACGAAGTGTGGCAGTTTCGTGGGCGAAACATAAACGTAGAGGGGCGTGACGTATCATGAAAATAAGGCGGCTGTGACGGTAGAGAACAAACCTGAGCAGAATATCACTGCAGGACAACCAAACTTCACCTATGTGTACAGGTAGAGGTAGAATGCCAGTGCCATGACAACACAGTTCTACAACTCGGCATCATAGGCATGAGGTGTAGGAGACGGAAGGCAGAGCATCCCATCCGCAATGCAGCACGAGGCGAGAGCAGAACCGTGTACGTGTTTTCCGTTGAATATGCACATACCTGAACACCTGCAGTCACGCAGGAATGCGTACATGCATACATACATGCATACATCGGATTGTGCGCTGCGAGGTTGACAAGTTACTCACCATTTCACAGCAAAAGGAGGTTCATCATGCTGTGCTGTGCTCCCCGCCAGACTGGGTTTGAAGCACCGGCAGATGCTGCGCTTGGCTCAGTGTCTAGTTGCATAAGGGCCATAACTGGCCCCAGTTATGTCATCGTGTCATACTGTCTGCTCGCTACTAGCAACCGTCCGGTCCGTCCATCAACGATCCATCTTGAGCCCGCATGAAGGGGCCTGCTCCAGAACGATTGGTGGTTGCACGAGAGATTGATGTGGTCTGTTTCAGCTGTAGTAGGAGATGCAACTCCTCACAACCTTGCGCGAGTCGACTCCTGGCCCGCAAACAGTTCATGCATGTTTAGCTTTCGATACGCGCTTCAAGGACTATCACGAGGCCCAGCGATTCGAGGCGCATGTCAACTGTTGGGTGGTTTGAGATTTGGGCAAGTGCAGTTTGCATGTGCTTGAGTGCCTGCCCTGGTTGTCTACATAATTTCCAGTTGCATCATTTATGGTTTCTTACAGGTGGCCAACTCCTCCCGCGAGCAGAATGGGCAACGTCAGGCTTGTCCGTGCCGAACAGCCGCAATCTCATCCTGAAAGTCGTACAGTAATGGAAGATTGAAAAGCTGCTTCATGTTAACAAGCCGTGCATGGATGCATGCCAGGTAACGTGGAACGAGTGGCGAGCTATGCAAGAGCGAATTGCAGGGGCCCTCGAGCCCTGAAAGCCTTGCGGAAACTGGGCCACACGGCCACACGTCATGTCATGGGTTAGTCAGCTGTCATAACCTGTCATGTTAGATCGGACTCGGCAGCCGGCTTGGATGCAGCAGGGCATGCGTTCTTGCCTTAGCCGCGAGGCTGCAACAGCCAGCCATGCCCACGCCTGGCGGAAACGGCTAACAGAGGCGGACTCCACGATGAGCTGGTACTCGTAGCACTGCAGCCCCTGGAAAGGCTGTTTTGGCGTTGAAGTTGGTTGACCGTCGCCCGGACAGGTCACGAAATGCCTTCCACAGGATGAAGGACCGAGGGAGCCAGCAACGTTGGCAGTAGTTTTTTTGTATGTCCATGCGTCTATGTTCCCAGGTGCACGTATTCATCAGGAGCGCTTGACTCGTCATTCATCCTCGTTTGGCTTTACCATGATCAGATATGTGGCATGTGTAACACACATACATACATACATACATA